TCTCTAGGAATTCAATTAATGTAAAATAAAAAATCTGGAATCCGTCATTTTGACGCGTTTGGTAGTTCTAGCTAGTGTTAATACACGTTCAAAACCATGATCTCTAGTTTGCACGTGTGAATGCTGTTTTCGGCCATTATCGATTCGGTCAAAAGCTGCAAGGTGACACATGTCTATTCATTTAAACATCTCGTCTGTGGTTCCGCTAAATTCGCGTCCCGTATATTTTTCCGTTTAATCCAGCGGGTTTCGTGACAAAGTAATTGTTCCTTGGGGAAAGTTACGCCTTCTTTCCGTCCGTATTCAAGTCCTGTTACGGTTTTACGCGATGGCTCGATAAATCCTGACGACCCTGTTACCCTATTTCTCTCTTTCTTCCCCGTAAATCTGAAAAAAATGGTCGGGAGCACTTTAAAGTCGGCGCGCAGGAGGAGGCCCATGTTTGTCGACGCTTTTATCGACCGGCTAACGGTCGATTTTCGCAAAGGGTCGAAAGGAGCGGTATATATATATAGGGTGTTCCAGAATAGTTGTAAGTCTTCGAAAGGGGTGATTCCTGAGGAGATTTGAAACAATTTTTTCTTTAGCGAAAAAATTCTGCAAGACTTTGTTAACGAAAAACCCCGACCAATCAGAGCACGAGCCACTCAACTTCAATACAGTGATTATTTTGTAAATATCTCGTTAACTATTAGGTTTAGGACGTATGAAGGTCAACACATTTTTACTGAGAATTTGATACTCCTTGGTACAAAAAATAGGTAATTCTTATAAAAAGAAATCAAGGTGACCTTGAAACCTCTGAAATGCCTCCACCCACAAAAACGTACCTTATAAGATGTGCCCCTTGATGCCATTTAAGTTCTACGCCTCAAAATTTTCTTAAAGTATTTCGTTAAGTTATTATTTGAGGTGATCAAGTTAGCTGAAACACCCTGTATATATATAGTGAGAGAGAAGGAGAGAGAGCTAGTAGTTTCATCAATCCAGAGAAATGAAATTACGCCCGTCCTCTCGTAGTCCGGTTTCCGTCTACGCCGCCCGGCCACCTTCGTGAATTAACTCCACTTGACGGGTTGGTAGACAACCGGGGCCACTTTTCTCTCGTTTCCCCCGGTTTTTAAGACTTTTTAAGTCCGCCGGCGTATTAAAACAAAGAAGTAGGGCCGAAACAGCGCCGGCTGGTACGGTATAATGGCTTGAATCGCGAGTAGTGTTTGAGGAAACACTAAGTAATAGGATTAATTAGCATTAGTGGTACTTATTCTGCGTGCTAAAATGGCACAGTAGAGCGAGACACGGGGTGCTTTTGAACGTGGACGAAATGCTGTCCATAGTTTTTCTTTTGTGCGGTATACAGGCGGAGGCATTTAAAACAGGCCACCTGAATATCATAGAGGTCATATGAAGGTCAACTTCGTATTGTTTAAATGCAGGTAGCCTGTTTTAGGTGCCTCACCCTGTACAGACGATACAATAAGTTTCTTGAGTCATGGATGACTTTTCTGTTCTCGATATTTTTTCCCCGATGTACAATGCTTTGGTGGGTCCGATCAAATTATCAGAATAACGTTTAATAAATGGACCATCAGATATATACGGTGTCTTCTGAAAATAATTATTTCGTACAAATGAAATACCGCAACGAGCAGCCTTCCAGCTTTTCATCCCTTTCCCCTGTAATAGGCTTCGTCGAGAATGGATGACTCCATAGGGAGCCAAATTTAATTTTGATAAAAGAGGCTTATAACGAGAGAACGGCGCGACGTTGAGGATCGTTTAAGTGGCACCGTTATAGGGGCATACAGGAGGGAAGGTGGGGCCTGTTACTTTTCTGAGAATATGGAATCCAAGGGTGGGCGATAAGACTCGCCAGATATTACCTCACGTCTCACCCATATATTCCTTATCGCTGCGCCCTAGTGGCTTGCGAATCCTCAATTACGGCTGTAAGGAGGTTCGCCGGTCCATCCGTTGGCGATCTATCCGCTCGTTTAAGAGATAATCATTAATAGTTCATTCTTAACAGCAGATTATCTGACGCCGACCTGTAATAGTCCCTTCTTAATACCGTGCTCGGCTCGAGTGGAACAGAAGTATTCAATTTTCATGTAATACCCCGCGGATTATGTTCGATTTCGGTGAAACTGCCTGGAGAAACAATTAAAGTACCTACATATTGTCTAAGGCAGGGGTTCACAAACTTTATTTTTCGCGTACCACTTAAATATCTATACGAACAGTTTCGTACCACCGATTCAAAATTAAGATGAATATTGCAGTGCAGTACGAGTGACAATTATAGTTCGCGTATACCATCTGGAAGTTTCCACGTACCACTAAGTGATATGCGTACCATAGTTTGAAAAACGCTGGTCTAAAGAATATCAAAGTCCAATAGATGATATTCACACAAATATAAAGTGGTGTAAAATTAAATACACAACAACTTCGGATACCCTAATTCCTGTGGTATAGGTGAACACTATCTATAAACTTCACCACCTAGAAATATGAGCACTCTGGTACGAAATATCATGTGTCCTCTGGCCATACACGAGCCGGGCTACAGTCATTTACTTCGCGAAATTGGTTTTCCTTCTTCCCAATGTCGTGATTGGTGGTGGTCAACGGTGATCGATGGAAGATTTATCCGGCACGATGAATCATCTACGATCGGGTCGCCCCGTGTTACAGCAGCGGTTTTTAGGTCGCGTGCCCCGTTAGAAAGGAGTTGAAGGATCTATTCGGAAATTTACGAGTACCGACGGAAAATGAAATTGTGCAGGGTCGGTAGCGCGCTTAGGTGCTCTCGTCGTCGTCCCCGGAAACCCACGATGTAATAAAACGCTACGATAAAACCGGGCGGCGGCGATCTTCAGAAATCTCGTGGCTCGTCGTCGTCGTCGCAACTCTCTCCTACGGGGTTAGTCGGGTGTGTGTTCGTCTCAGAAAAGTTCCATTCGACCAACCCACCCCCACCCACCGCCCATCGAATATAATGTAATCGACGTAGAAGAACGTGTCCTCGTTCTTGCGTCGACCCGAGGTTCCATCGATCTCGATAATTGAAAAGTTCCTTCGTTCCGTTCCTTGTTTGACGACGATCTTGTAGACCAGCGTAATCCTAATCGATATTTGCTTAAGATTTCTGCACCCAGGCTACTCTGGACCGCGATTATTCTCGGTGAATCCGTTCCGTTTTGAATCATCCTGTGATTTATGTTCGATCGCGTATCGTAAGCTTATGGCTGCTTTCACACGACTCGAGGGAAATAATGAGTTGTAGTAAAATAGAATGATTCATTTATCATAATTTATAATTTGGTGGATCTTCGTTCGGTTACAGATTGTAAATGTTCATTGGAAGATACTTAACATATTGTATGCGGGACACGTATTACAGTGGTGCTTCGATGAATGCGACACGAGCAACAACGTTATTCCCACCACTAGGGGAGTCCCCCTGTGGAACCAATCAGAATAGATTAAACAGAAACTAAGCAGAGGCTCAGCTTCGGGGAAAAAATAAATTTATGGGGGGCTGAAAACCGTTCCGTCTTGTTATGAATGCTCCGAAATGGACCTGAATACGTCGCACTCATCGAGACATTCCAGTAGTATTATTAGTTTGCGAACGCGCGAGACAGTATTAAATGAAAATGTAGCGATTCCAACGGTTAAGGGAGATTTATTGATTAAATTACAGTTCGTTCACTTTTTATCGGGACGAAAGTTTCGGTAGTTTGTGCAAGTTTATTCCGAATCTCAAGTAGGTCAGTGCTCTTTCAGCGCCGTATGAACGGAGCCTAAAGATCCCTTTATACTCCGGCGAACGGTTTCCTCCCGCGGCGCTTGGGAATGCATGAATGAAGTTCTCATCAAGGAAGTTGAACGTCGCGTTAAAACGGTTCCGTGAGTAAACAAGGGAGAAACTGATAGGGACTTTCAGGGATGTGCCTCTCGACCGGCTTCAACTAACAAAAATCGTGGCAGCTCACGGAACCGTCGACTGTAATACGAACGAATCCGTACCGTGGAACGAGCAATCGTCATTCATTAGGAATAATTACGTCTGCTCCCGCTAATGACGACAGAACAGCCGATGTTAAGTTAGAGACCAATAGGAATACACTCTCCGGAGTTCTCAATAATTACCTAATTAGCGATTCGCCCGACACAGATCGAAATTCAATGATTCTTTGGTATGAAACTGCCGTTCCGAGCATACACTTAGTTGCCCTGGAATTCAATATTTGCACTACTGTCCATGATGATGAAAATATAAAGGTAGCTATTACATGATTGCGTAGGGAATACACAAGCTTGTCAGGATATTCTCTGACTGTCGCGCAGTGGGCTGTTTCATCAATCTAACCAATGTAACGGGACAAAAGTCTCGGAGGTGGTGTAGAAATCATCAGTTGGGTGAAAGTGTTTATTATTTGTTTAGAAAAACACCATCGACATGAAATCCGAGTAGTGCGCTAGTTGTTCTGTTTTGTTGCCACCATAAAAACTTTTACCTCGAAGTCCGCCGGGAGGTTTTTTTTTTAAACCAAAATTCAGTTGTTCAATTCATGACGAATATAATTCGAATAATATTCGAATATTTAAGTATACGAATAGTGATCAAGCGTTCAAATAGGACGATGTTGATTATAAATCATTAGCAAAAGATGATAAACGGAGCTAAATCCACTCCACTACTGTCAGCTAAAACTAAAAAGAGGTAAATATTGTGAAATGTCTTAAATGACAATAAAGTTTGAGAACTATAATAAACTCAAAGACCTTCATTTTTAATTCACATCATACCATTCGAATGTGTATTTCGAATATCTAAATACGTACTTGATCACTGTGGAACATATTCGAATACTTAAATATTCGAATATTGAAATAAGTATTCGAATAGTATTTTTATAAAATATTCTTATAATACTTATAAAATATTCAAATACTAAATTATTCGAATAGTCCTAGCCCTAGTCTCAATAATGGCAACAGAACCGTGTCATAAACCAGGGTCTTCTCGTGGTATCTGCCTTCAGCAACCGTCGACCACCGCTAGTTTGTACCCGCGGCCGCCGAACGGTGTCGCAACATTGTGCTGGACAGGGTCCAATCGTGGTTTCGTTATCGTCGCGAGACAAGATCGTTAAACCTCTTTGGATCCCGTAGTGGTTGCAGGACAGGTCGCTAACCGTTGGGCTGGTGTTTCTTGCAGGACCTGATGACGAAGAACAAGCTAAGGAACTGGCGACACTTGTTCGCCGGTGGCTTGATCGTCGCCGTCGTGCTCGGTTTGGTCGTCACAGCGACGATCCTTCTGACCGGAAGTCCGGACTCCTCCGACTCAGGAACGCCAGCCGCGGCTGGTATCTCCCTTGAAGAATGGCTGGCGGGCTCATTGTCCCCGAAGAGCTTCAACGGCACGTGGATCAGCGGTAAATATCTTATTATTTAAATATACAGGATGTCCCACGTGACTGTTACCACGATTTTTCAAGCACTTCTAGTGATCTGACGAAACAGTGTTTTAAATAAAAGTTGATCAGTTTTTACTCGGTTACATGTAAAGAAAAATATTCAGAAATTTTTTTTCGATAAAACTGTCAAGGTTTATTTCTTGAGTTTTATTTCTTGAGTTCAACCATCTAGTACATTGTAATTTTGAATTGACCTTGAATTCAGAAAGCTGGAATCAACGAACGGAAACGTTTTGGTGGGAAATTGTTATGAGGTGGACACCCGTATTGCTGGAAGTAAATACTACTATAGCATTTGAAGAATAAACAAAATATTCTTTCTGGTATTAAGAAATTCGTCTCTGAGGAGGTTAAATGAAAATATAATTAATGCCGTTGTCGTTCAGGTGAAATAATGACTGAAAAAGTGATATACGGTAGCTTTGGTACATGTAAGAAGTCAAGGCTTCTCGTTTTATCGTACGACTGTTCGCGCAATACGATGTTCCTTTGCTCGAACGATCCCCGAGTCTTGAGTTACACCGGGAGTCCGACGGTAAACAGTTTGAAAATTGATACGACTTCGGAGGAGGAACGGCGGGCACAATCGTCTCCAAATTCAAAGGGGGAAAGCTTCTATGTTTCACCGGCATGGCCAGACGCAATTAATTCTGCAAATGGCATCCTTGTTTCCGGAACAAACGCGTCTGCGGCCGCAGCGAAAGTGAAGTTTCCCGAGAAACGTGTTCGAATAGTTCGTACGGTTTTCCCCCCTCTCCACGACTGCTCATCGTCCAGGCTCTACCTTTCGAGGGATCCGAATTTACATCCCAGAAGAAATCGCGATAAATCAGACCCCTTGTTCTCTCGTTCGCGAGTACAGGGACAGTTTTGTAAGATAAAGTGAACTCAATGAAGCGTCTTCAAACGGTGTAGAAAGGATTAAACACGTGTACTCTCTTAGGAAACATTGTGGAGATGGTTACATTCTCACAAAGGATGTTGGCGAAGTGATACACGTCGATTTTTCTGATTGTTTGTAGACCAACCTACGAATTTTGCCGTACTTGGGTGATGGTGCTACTTTTAAACTTCAATTTTTCTTTTATTTATTCGATTGTAATTGATAAACTATAAAAGATATCGAGAAAATGTTTACATAAATTTTGTATCGTCTTTAGTTCTCCATATATCGGTAAGATGAAATTTTCAAATGAAATTATTTTCAGTTAAACAATTTAAAAAACATTATTTCAAAAATTTTTTTCTACCGATATATGGATAATTCAAAAGGATAGAATCTTTATCTGAACGTTTTTTCCATATCTTCTGCGGTTTACGAATTGCAAGGGAATAAGTGAAAGGGACCCTTCTAGCAGAAAGGGTGGTTTCTTAAAGTCTAAAAGTAGCACCAACCAAGTAACACGGTTTTAAAATATCTCAATCGTCTTCGTTTCAAAAGATATCCCACCGTTGAAATATCCAGTTACATCGATTAGATTACGATTTCTCTACTTGTACGTACGAGCAACACGGGGTTGGATACGGAAAAACCAGGTAGTTAATTCCGTACAAGTCGGACGGGCGTCGTTCATTAGGGGCGTAATTCAATGATTGTTGAAAATGATGTTTGCTCCATACGTAATGGCGTAAATCGATAGCTCGTATAAGCAGAGGGAAATTAACGTCGTGCCATCCGGTACACAGGGACGTGTACCCGGGTAGATACAACAGGCATCGAAACCCTCAATTTGCGGGAATAGCCTGGCCCCTCGCGCGGCAAGGGACGAGTCGCAATGGATCCATGATCCCTCGCTCGCTAATTACTGCCTACGTCAAATTTGTAGGGAAACACCGGAGACCTTCGCCGTCGCAGCGATCGTCCGTGTACAGTCGTTGACAATGGACCCTGGCGGCTGCCAAGACCTGCTGTTCTGTAGGGTTTGCAACGTTTTCAATTATGGTTCTCTCGGTTCTTACGATCAATGAATTTTCGTGAGTAAATAAGTAGCTTGTGATCTTGGTCGGACGAGTAAAGTTAGTAACGAGTAAAGTTAGTAACGAGTAGAGACTTTTGACACAGAATCTACCGACGATTTATATATATCAATTTCTACCGAACCAGTCAAATCACCGGTCTTTAAATAAAAGTTATATTTCTTGAAATTGAGTGCATGTATGATCGAAGTTATGCCACACTCGGATTACCTTTCGTGTTTCCAACCAGACATCCCGTCGTCAAATGTCTCTCTATCTACAATGGCATGAATTGCTGTGGATTTCCGCAGTGATTGTTGCATATTGTACAATCTGTGCATCTGCGTAATATACAATTGCAGCTGCATAATTTTTGAATTGAGTCTTCAGAGTAGATAACATTACAAAAGAACGTAAACCTTCCATCTGGGCAAATTGTCGGGTTACGGTAGATGAGGCATATGTATATATTTCTCAGAAGAAACGAGACATAAATAGACATGAATATTGATTATATGTATATTACAAGAAACGTCGTGAAGTTATATGACGGTGTGATAAAGTTGAATGCAGGTATGTTTAAACAAAAGTTTGGAAACTGTCGTGGTAGGTTTAGTGTTAAGTAGATTTTTGAAGTAAAAACTTGTATTAGCAAGACACTTAAGACACTGCCAGTGGGCAGAGAAAGATCATACACACCATCCTCGTACAGGAAAACAAAGGCAGAATTTGTGTCTTTGTTGGAATAGTAGAATAGAATCGTTCTTGGTCAGACCAGTGGAATCAGCACATGCTGGATTGGACAAGTAGTATATCACCGTCACGGACCAGACAAGTAGAACGTGCGGTGCCCGTGATCTGGCAAGTAGAATGTGTCTTATTTCGATCAGACCCACAGACTGCGTCTTGTCTCTGATCTAGCAAGTGGAACGTGTGTTACATTGGTCAGACAAATACACTACTTCGCGTACTTTCCAATTATTTCAATTTTTTCAGTTGTAAATGAGATCAAACAGAAAAGAATTCGTTGATTATACGTATTAGACACTAGTAACTCAAATTACACAACAATCTTCAATATACAAAATAATTTAATTTATTTCTTTTCCATTTGTTAGAAGAATCGACCACTTTGAGTCGTGCTTCTGATCTGGCAAGTAGAACGTGTCTTATTTTGGTGAGACACCTAAAGTTTCTTCTTCACTGTATCGAGCTTATCTATGATTTTTTATTTTACGGTTCTTCGACAGAAACAAGTTATTCGGTGCATGAATCCAACACGGCGCATAGGGTCATGTAAAAGACGGTTCCGTTCACCGTTACGTAATCGAACTGCAAGGGTTGCTGCATTCCCAGAGAAATGCAGTCGCGAGCGTGTCACGTTGTGCGACCCGCATGCCACCACGTAACAAGTGATACGAATCGTTCTGGACAGTATTTTCTGCCTGGAAAGGAAGTACGAGAACGGAGGCTGCACAAGGTTCTGGCAAGTTGCCGGGAGGCTCGAGGGGCAATCATGACGAGGCACTGAGGCCCGTCAGCTATTGGCCCAAGGGGGGGCTGATCATTTTAGAGAGTAGGCACTCCTTGAAAGTTAACTGTCAGCTGGAGATATTCCTTTCGTTTTTTCCTACTTCCTCCCGTTCGAGAACTCTCTTATCCGATTATTCTCAGTCGATCTGGCTCCTTTTAGTGGCATCAGGTGACTCGGTTGCATCGGTTAATCGAAGCTTTGTTTCTCCACGATCAATTCTGCAGTTCCTTGCAACTTATATCGTTGCTCGAGTTCTTAACTCTTTAACGCTCAGACCCTTAAATCGTTATTTCAAAATTATCGGACTGATATAATATGGTGTATCTTGTTATTTAGGAGTCGAAAATATCGATATTGAACAGAGTGATTTTTTCATTTTTTTTCTTTTTTTATCCATTTATATAGGGAAGACTTGAATTTCTCAACTGGAAACGTGGTGAAACTACGGTTCCTTGCTGACAAAAGTTAGGTACTAATGGGTGACAAAATTTAGTGCATTTTAAAAGTCAGTGTTGCGCCGGTGTAATACTGGGAGTTAACACTAAACCTACCGAACCCTTCAGAGAAATAGGAATGAGAACGGCAACATTGGTCATTTGAGATTTGGTGTTAAAGGGTTAACTGTTCTAACTCCATTTTTTTACAAAATTCAACCGGGAAAGCAATAAATATTCTTTTAAGTTCCAACTCCGAAATTTTTGAAATTTTATTTTCTTAATGGTTGTATCTCCAAATACTAACAACAATTAAAAATTGATGTCGATAGTGAGCTAACATTTTGATTAATTGACATAAGTGTTTGATTATTTCACGACTTCCCTGCTTCTGGAATATTACACTTTGTGAACCTTAAACTCAGTTTTCTCAGTTTAGAGACTAGTGGAGATAGAACGCATAATGTCTTCTTAACTCTCGAGTGACTCTATAATCATATCATTCCACATTTTTCGGTAATCATTGGCCCCACGATCACCTCCCCAGGCAACAACGAGATCACACGAGATGCTCATAGCTTGTTCCAGGCAATTTTTCTAAACTTGTGTTTCTCCTCGAAAACGAGCACGCCGACCGGATGGAAATCTCATTCCAGACTTTCGACGTGTTTTGTCGTGAAGAATTATCCTGTGGTATTGAACTGAACACATCGTGAAGCTTCTATTTTTCCTGAAAAATCGGAACTTTCCTCGAGGGGAACCGTTGTCTGTTTTTCGTTCCTACCACGATTCTCCTGCAAGATACGCGTGGATCTTGCCCGTTTCTCACGGAAGATTGATTCGTCCGTATAAACGGCTGCGAAACTGGCGGTAGTTCATCAAATTCATAGCCGAAAAAAGTCAGAAAGGAAGTCGTCCCGTAAGTTAACACGTTACGTGCCGGCAGTGAATTGAGTAGATATGTATAATATATTCCAAGTTTTAAAGTTTTGTTATGTTGCCCAATAATCAAGGTTTCTCGTCGTATAAGAATT